TTTTAAAAACTTCAGAAAGGTCCATCAGGGAACCAGCTCTGCAAACAGTTTTTTCAATAAAAGTTTCACTTCTTGAATCAAAGGATACTTACAACGAGAATGGTAACCTTCACTTAAATATTTTTCTATTAACTGTGACCCTGAAACTGTAATCATTTTGACAACAAAGCTGATTTGATATCATAGACAATTATTCAACTAGTCATTAGATTATTTGGGAAGTTCTCCCAGCCTAATAAAAGGCTCTAAGATTCTGTGTCAGAGAAAGAAACATACAGGAAATGGGAAGAATTTTAATGTATTTTCATAAGTTTCCAACAGTAACAACTGGCCCATTTGATAACTAATTTCTGCTAAATGTCAATGGATTAGTAATATAATCTTATATTTACCCAAGATTAGCAGTTTGGCTATGAAGAGTGAGGTCAAAGAATACTGCTGTTAATTTTCAATGAATTTGCTTAATAATCAACTGTTTATGACCACATCCTTGTTTTCTTGTAATGACCCAGACTTTCAGGATTTTGAAAGTCTGAGAAAAATCTGCTATTAAATGTACTATGGTCAAGGTAAAATTTCTACAGGGAATATATAATTCTAATAGGATCTTATCTAAAAGGATACACTTGACCAGTGTCACTAGTGACGTCAACATCAAATAAACATCAACATTAAATTGAGGCTACTATATATTTTCATGTGCTGAGTACATAGCCTATAAAGTCAGGCTAGAGGGACTAAAATATATTCCTGTTAAAAGTTAATAAATAGTCAATCTATCATTCATTCTAGTGATAGATCAAATATATTTTGCTATAAAAAATGGAAAGAATTAATGAATATATGTCAGAAACTTTTAAGTTTTTTGCTCCCAAGAAGTTGGTAGGGTGAGTATTGTTAAATAAAACAAACCTAAGTTCAAGTCCTAAATTTGCTTTTGTTACTTCATTAATCTTGGTGACGTAAATTATCCTCTCTATGCCTCAACTGTACCATCAGAAATATAGAAAAAATATTTATTTCCCTTGGAAGACATCCTCAATTAAAAGAGGGTCCATCTCACTTAGAAAGGGCTTTTGGGAAAAAATTTCCACATTAAATATATTTATTAACTATATAATACATTCTGATTTCAGAAATATTAAACTGGATAAAATATGGCCTAGGATCTAGGAAACAAGACAAGGTTATCTGTCTCACTGAGTATGCAGCATGGAGTAAATAACATAATGTCAAGAACCCACCACGACTCGTGGCTCCATAGCAAGTCCTAAATAAATATTGATTTTTATTGTTATTGTTAATATCACTAACAAGAAGGAGAAGCATACATCAAAGACTTATTTAATACATTTTGTTTCAAAATACCATGGAATTTGGGAGATAAATTGTAGAACCTCTGTTCCCTTCTCTCTATAGGTAATACGCATGAACGGTATGATAAAGTTAAGTGATTTACCGAAACTAAATAATTGTAGAATCAAGATTATAACCCAGATCTAATTATTTGTCCAATAAATAATAATAATATAATAAGTGCTTACTATGAGCATGTATTATACTGGTTGCTTTGTATATAAATATTATCAAGTCATCACAGCAATACAATGTGACAATGTAATAGGTACTATTATCCCATTTTACAGAAGAGGAAGCTGAGGCCCACACAGGATAAGCAAAATCTCACAAAAGCACACTCTTGTTTAGAGTCTAAGCTCTGACTCAAACCCAAGTCTACCTACCTCAGTGGACTCTTTCCACTGAGCTAATGTCTCCTACCAGGCTTTGTACTTGTTCCTTCTTGGATTGCTTTATTGATTGAAGTCTTATCCTTCTAACAAATGTATTAATTCCACAAGCACAGATATAATGTTACCTTTTTTTTTTTTCGAACATGCATGGCACAGGGCTGGGCATTGTGTACGTGCTCAAAAAATGTTTGCTGAGTGTATGATAACCTTAAAAAAATTACTTGTAAAAGCAAAAAGAAAAAAAAACACTTAAGCAAGCAAAATGTACAAAAAATTGCTCAAGTAATGACTTGGACTGGGCTCAAACAGAAATTCTCCTCAGTTTAAGAAATAGAATTCAAGCATATTCTCTGCTGATCCTAAGCCAGTACTGCTTTCTTTAACAGTCAACAGTTCAAAGTATAATAGATTTAAAATAAAAGTAAATTATAAGACAAAAAAAAAAAAAAAAAAAAAAAACAGTCAACAGCTCCCAACATGCATATTTAACAACCCCAAAGACAGGGCAAGCCTAAGAGGCAGGTAGTTAAAATCTGACTGTCCTTGAAAACAGGGGAGCCACTTTCCACTGGTACATGTGACCTAGTTTAAGGTTTAAGCATTCAAAAATCTGGAGCAATTCTTAGCCCTGGGCTAATAGGGCTAGCTGATGCCTCTCTTCTTTTCACATTTAAAGAGAAAGAAGCCCCTCTTGAGATAAGGAAGAGATTCAGAATATAAGGTAAGACTCTTTTGGAAAAGTGCTATGATTGAGGTTTCAGCATTCTTGCCTTAGCTTGGAAAAGACTTCATACCTTTACTTTTATTTATTTTATTTTATTTTATTTTATTTTGAGACAGAATCTCGCTCAGTTCCCAGACTGGAGTGCAGTGGCGCAATCTCGGCTCACTGCAACCTCCGCCTCCTGGGTTCAAGGGATTCTCCTGCCTCAGCCTCCTGAGTAGTTGGGACTACAGGTGCAAGCCACCACTCCCAGCTAATTTTTGTATTTTTAGTAGAGATGGGGTTTCATCATGTTGGCCAGGATGGTATCAATCTCCTGACTTCATTATCTACCTGCCTCGGCCTCCCAAAGTGCTGGGATTACAGGTGTGAGCCACCGTGCCCGGCCAAGACTTCATTTCTTCAGAACAAAATACTGCTTATACTGAAGACTGGGGTAGAAGATCATATGAGGGATGTGAAGGCGATGTAAAGCCAGGAAAGATGGGATTTACCTACACTCAACTCTTCTGCATTTCCTCCTAGACACTGTCCCCATTTCTTCCTGCCTGGCCTAGCAAGCTCCCTTCTCATTAAAAATTGGGCATAAAATCAGGTGAACTGGACTAGGGCCTATAGTCAGTCAGAATGTGGTCATATTACTTCCCAACCCAAATTAATAATATTCAACTTGGGCAATGCATATAAACTATTACTTCCCGAGTAGGTAAGCTTTGCAGGATAACTCCAAAAGAATACCATGTTCATTACAACCATGCTAAAAGAAAAGACCATGTTGCTTATTACTAGGGCTATGGGTCTGATACTTTAAAAAAATGTTAGAAACTTGCAGACACTCCAGTGTTATGGTTTATCCAATCAGTACTGTGGCCACAGTTTAATGCTTTCCCAAAGCTCCCCTCTTTTCTTTTATCCCAATCCCTTTCATTCTAAGCATATATAAGTCGGCTAAGAGTCCTAATCAGTTTCCTGTTGTAACTTTTATAACAGCCTCTGACATCTTCCCCCAGATATCCATAAGCCTCGTCCTTTTATTTCCTTCAGTTCTATTAAAAAAAACAAAAAAGGCATCTAATTAGAGAGGCATTCCCTGACAATCTTATATAAAATATAAATTCCTTGGTCTGATCCTGCTCCACCTAGCCTCTTACCCTATTTTGTTTTTCCCCATGGCACTTATCTCTACATGACATGACGTATATTTGTTTACAGGTGGTCTCCCTTCACAAAATTTAAGAAAGGACTCTGTTTTGTTTATTGCGGAAATTCTACCACCTACAATGGTGGCACTCACAGCAGGCTCTTGATAAATGTTTGTTAAATCCACCAACAGTCTTCAAAGCCATTCCTCATTCACATCATTGCTAAAAAGTGAAAGTATAGTCGACCATGGTTTAGGTAAAAATATCACATTTCTTTCAACCACTTCTCACCTTAAAATCAGGATGAACTGCAGCCCCATGCCTTTCACCCATCCCAAACAAGTTTTATTTTGTTTTGTCTTGTTTTCGTTTCTTTAAGTGAATTGCGTGATTATTTTACTAGCACATTCCATATTTTGACACTATACCCATTTCTGAATGAAATCATCATCTTAAGTCCAAAACAAAGTCAAAGGCATTTCCTGAAGTATTTCAATAACCTTCCGCCAGGCACGGTAGCTCACGCCTGTAATCCCAGCACTTTGGGAGGCTGAGGCAGGCACATCACGAGGTCAGGAGATTGAGATCATGCTCGGTAACACGGTGAAACCCCGTCTCTACTAAAAATACAAAAAATTAGCTCGGCGTGGTAGTGGGCACCTGTAGTCCCAGCTACTCGGGAGGCTGAGGCAGGAGAATGGCGTGAACCTGTCAGGAGGAGCTTGCAGTGAGCCAAGATCGCACCACTGCACTCTAGCCTGGGTGACAGAGCGAGAGACTCCGTCTCAAAAAATAAATAAATAAATAAATAAATAAATAAATAAATAAAATTAAATAAAATAACCTTCATAACATGCCACACTAGTAAGTTTTTCTTGTATTGCTCAGAAGGTTGAGCATAGGAAGTGATTTGGAACATGCCAAGGGCAAAATGAGCTCTATACCTGACCACGGAGAGTTGTCTCAGAGATCCCACTAATCACAAACTAAAGTTAGCTGAGATACCATAACAGGCGGCAAGAGTACACCTTGTAATCAAAACTTGTATGTACCAGTAGAACATGCTGTACCTTTCTTTTAGTGATGTCCTCATCTCTCAGTTAAACACTGAACCTGATAATTTTTCTGCCTTGCTCTTTCTCCTTTAGATCAACAGCTAACCACATGGAGAAAACATAAATTATATACATGTATGAATTAATAAAAATAATTATTATTTTAATAAATATAATTATAATTTTAATTAAATAATAAATCTAAATATAATTATAAATATAATTTAAAATATAATTATAATTAATACATTAATAAAAATAAAATATATTTTAAATATATATATACTTAAAGACATTTTGAGTTTAAAATGTACAATTAGTGGTTTTCTCCAATTAGTCAAAGAAATTTGGATACAGGGATGGCCAGCCTGTGCTAACAGGATGACTTTGGTCCCATTGCCTTAATTATAAACTAGGTGGAGCTGGCAGTGCTTCATGAGGGTGCAAGAGAGAGAAAGTGAGAATATTTTTCTGACTAAAGAACAAATCACTTATTTAAGCCATTATTCCTTTCAAGTTCCAACCATAATTTATTTAGTAGGCATAATTTCTAAATACGATTAGGCAAATTAATGGAAATTTACCAGTCACAATTGGCTGATATTACACAGTCATGTGTTATAAAGAGCAAACAAACATAAGTTTCTGGATCCTAAAGCAGAAGGCGCATAGAGGATATCCTTAATTTTTTAAGCCTTCAATTTGAAAAGTATTTTTTATTTTGCCTCTGCTTTGTCTTACTTATGCCTAAAATCTTGAACATTGCCATAAGAACATAATTTTAAACATTTTACTCAGTAATAGTTATATGTTCTGTGCCTATATTGTTGAAGATCCGAGGGGCTGAATCACTGAGGTTTATCATAGCAATTTGTGCTGCAAATTCCACTTTCTGGACCTCAGTGCCTTGTCTTTTAAAACAAGAAAAGTAGATATGAAAAGCTGAGGTCCCTCTCTGCTCTATGAATCCCTAACTCTCACCCACTGAGTTTTTATATGTGAGCACCAATGGGCAAGCAAAATTCTGAAAGAAGTCTGGACGTGTACTGTAAAGGAGGGATACGAATGGGCTGGATGATGACCCACACTTCTAGACTAGTTTATTTAATTGCAATTAACACAATACATGAACAAAGCTGCTGTGAGGCTTAGCAAAAACATCATTTGTCAAGCATGGTGATTATACGATCTTTCTCTAACCATTTTGGCAGTATAGTTTGTGGAAGAGCTTATTTTCAAAATTCTTCCATCTCTAGGGCACTTTTTGCCCCCGGGAGGAAAAACACTTCTGTGTTTAAAAATCTGGCTACTTTTCTTAGTCCAGAGTAGTGGTTCTCACCAGGAAGATTCTCTCCCCAGGTGGCATTACAGCAATGTCTAGAGATACTTTTGGTTGTCATGAGTTGAGGGGAAGGAGGTCACTGGCATCTGGTGGGTAGAGACCAGAGACGCTGCTAAACATCTTAAAGTGCACAGGGTAGCCCCAAGAACAAAGAATTATCTGGCCCAAAATGTCAACAGTGCAAAGACTGAGATACCTTACTCTAGAGAAAGAAGCTTTAGATTGAAGGTAGCTGGGCCAAGTCCATGTTAAACAAATAAGAATAGGAGTTTTGGGGACAATCTTTGTCTTTGGGGTCTCATAGACACTCTTAATATCATTTAGGGCCTAATGACATTGATGTCATGATAAAAAAAAAAGCTAATTTACATGCAGGTGGAACTAAATAAACTTTCTTAGATTCTCTTTTCTGGACATATTTTAAAGTAAGTATGACAGGTTGACATTTCTTTATAATCATTATTGAACACTTGAATATGATTGAACCTATCAGAGCAATACTACTGGATTTAGTCTTATTTCAACCCAAGTCCTTGCAGTCAACCACAGATTTCATTATGGTCAGTACTAAGTTAATACCCTCCTCCTAGCACAGTCTCAGTGCCAGCAACCAAATTTTTTATGCAGAACCTGATGCATCTTAGATGAAAACAACTGTTACAGTCTTTAAAGATGGAATATTAACTCTGTGGTCCAGCTTCCAGAGAATACACCAGTGCAGCAGATGAACTCAAGTAACTGAATACTTGCCACTTTAAACTTCCACACTTTTTAGTTGTTTTCATTGTAAGTTATTCTAAAACGTACCTCACACATCTTTGTCTTTTGCAACAGATGATAATGAACTTAATTTAATCATTTCTTAATGGTTTTAGGATGTCATTGTTATGGATGTTAGCTGTCAACCTGTGCAAGTGTTTTATGCAGGCAAACAAAATCAGTGGTTCAAGTAGAGTGTTTACTTCATTTGTTCTTGTGGCCTTAGTAGGCCAGCTGCTAAGTAATGCTTACTATTTCGAGTTCTCTTGTCTTCACAGTGACAAAAGAGGCATAAGCATTTCCTCAAGAAGCAGAAAATAATCATGGACGTCTGACATGCACTCTCCCATTCATTTCATATGCTGTGAATTCTCTAAGTCTGAAAAAATCAGATTTTCACATGATTTTGGTATTATATAACATTAAGTGCTATGTGCCACCCTCTGTAGAGCTAAGTGTTTGTCCCACATTATTGATTTTATCCTCATAACAACCCTGTTAGGTAGGTACAAGTATTTATCTTCATTTTACAGATAGAGGAGGCTGAGGCCGAGAAATACTGAGTCATTTGCCTGAAGGGCAGAACCCAGATTGAAACCCAGGTGATCTGACCCTAGAGCTTTGTTTTGACCACAGCTGCAGAAGCTGCAAAATAATAACCTATGGGCTGAGTATGGTCCATAGATATGTTTTCTTTTGCTCATGTAACACTGATAACTTCTGAGCCCACTGTCTACAGTTGGGCAGCTTGTGTCTGGCACAAAGGCTCAGCTAAGGGAGAGAGTAAGGGCTGAAATCCAGCCCACACTCAACTGGCACAGCTACAGGGCTGCCATGAAGGAAGGGCTGCGGTTTCCTGATTTGGACAAAGGGTTCAAATGAGCTACTGTCATCCCTGGTTGTCAACACTAACAAACTGAGTTATTCACGCAAAATTCCAAACCTCTGGTTTTTACAGGAGCAGAGGGGAGGGGAAGGGAGGATGGAGATTAGAACCAGCATTCCTCTGTGGCAATAATTTCTGTAGAAGGGACATGTGCTTGCCTGTGTGCAACTGGCGTGTTTCACACATTTATGTGATCTTCCAAGACACCACAGGCTTTCCAAGTTTGTGACCTCTATATGTACTATGTTACACTTGTGGCATTTCATTTTAAAATCTTCTCCTTTCCCCTTCGCAAAAAAAGGTTCAGTCATGGTGCTTCAGCTAAGCACCATAATTGAACTAAGTTTCAACCCCTATTGTAGAGCAACAGAAAACACGTCCAGCCCTCCTGAGCTTGATTCCTTAAGTGACCAAACAAGGGGGATTCAGTTTTCTTTTGCAGGCTGGAATGCTTGTTTTCTACATTTGCGGCTCTATGCCTGGAAGGAAACAACAACAACTTTGCCATGGATAGCCAGGTATGTACAAAGACAGAGGGAGGCATCTGACAGCTGTTCCCCTTCTAGCATTTCCTTACCAATATGAAAACTGTACACATGAGTGTTCACATTTTGGAGACATCACTGTTCCCTTCTTATATCACAACAGGCACCACCCAGGCCTGGAGCTTGTGGATGATCAACGAAGAGCCACATGGAACGGTGACTGGAAGATAAAAGCTAGTGCTGACTGAACAGCAGTCAATTTGTGGTTCAACTTGTCAATTCCCTACCCAGCTAGAGCTCCAGTACATGCTACATTTTTCTCTGCCAAGCTGATGCAATCCAGTAGTCCCGAGTGCCCTCTTCATGCCCTTACCAAAGGGATTGCTGCCGTGATCTACAGAGACACCTGCTGCCTAGACATAGCTAGGAGACTTAGAGCATCAACACTCTTCCCCACGTTTGGCTAAGTATTTGTAGCAGTTGCCACTCTTCACTGGCACATGCTTTGGTTTGCTATGGAAGCCAGAAGGAAGTCATTCCATCTGTTACCTCTCTGTCTCATACCCAGGAGATGAGAGAAGAACAATAATCTTTATTCTATCAAGTTCATCTTAAATGAAGGCAAGAGAGGTCTATAAGAGTGTAGACCAGAGATTGTCAATCTTCTCAGGTACCAGAACGACCTCTTGAAACAGAGACGGTAAGTTGCCTATTAATAATGATTATCTCCTGCTCTGTACCTATAGAGCACATTTTTAAGGAGGTGGCAAGGTGCCCAGCTTAACACAAATTTCTACATTTTCCAGGTTCCCTTGCAGAGATAATCCTATGATGCAGACTAATGAGATATAAGCTGAAGTCATCAAGTAGGACATCTAGGAAAGAGAATAAACTTGATTGGCTTGTCCATTTACCTTTTGCCTGTTACTCTGCATCTTCTTTTTAACTAGAAACATGATGGATCTCCTTCAACCATTTTGTGAGCATGAGGAAAAAGCTAGAAGAAACTCATGACATTTGCTTATGAGACTATAATGCTTATAGCATAAGGACTTTGCAATTTACTTAATTTCTCTGAGTCTCAGTTTTCCAAAGCATATTACCTCCCTTGTAGGGTTTTATGGAGATTTAAATGCGATAATGTGGGTAGAATTGCCTCATAATTACTAATATAAAGTAGTCAATCCAGTCAACAAATAAATCATCCCTTTCTCCCTTTTACTCTTCCAATCAGATCTCCAGACTCAAGGGGGAATTAAGCCAGACTTATTTGCTACTAGCTAGCACTTTCAAAGCAAGCTTCTGTCTAAAGTGCTTTTTGACTTGGCGTCAACTGGCACAGACCTGAACTGAGTAAACAAGGCTCTAGGCATATGAAAGAGATTCCCTTTAAGCTGAGCAGCAGGAACCCAAGGTAAGTAGCACGCTGGACCATGCCAGGCTGAGGCACAGAGAAGGTGTGGCCTTCAGTAGAGAGAATCTAAGAATATCTGAGCTAAAGTAACTATCAGGAGGTATCCAAATGCTCTTTTAGCTCAAAATATTCACCTACTTCCAACCTCCCCCTTGGGAAAATTATGGCAAAATGGAAAAGTGAAGAGGAAAAGCAATCCATTGATTGTATGACTTCAGGGCCTGAAGATACTGACAGAGAGAGGCCTGCCATTCCTTCCCCAACCTACAAGCACACACATTATTCTGATACCTATAGAAATGCAAATCACCTGTAAACAGGTGACTCTTTTCCAGTGTTTTCCATTCTTTAAGAAAATTATAGAATTCTGCAATATCTCTTTCATAGCCAGCAATTCTTTGGCACTGTATCTGATGACTTCCTCTTCTTCAAAGCAGAGATCAGCAAACTTTTTCTGTAAAGAGTCAGATAGTAAATATTCTAGGTTTTGAGGTGAAGGTACATAAGGTCTGTGTTTTAACTACCAAACAATGCCCTTGTAGTGAGAAAGGAGCCATAGATGATATGTAAATGAATGGGTATGGCAGTGTTCCAATTAAATGGCATCTCCAAAAACAGGTGGCTTGTAGTTTGGCAATCCTTGCTTAAAAAGACATTGAAACTATGCAAAACTGAACAAGAAACACTTGGTAATAGATAATACTCTCACTAATAATCATTGCCACGAAACAACCAGAGAGCTTCAAGTCAAAACCAACAGAGAGAAAGGGATGAAATGGGAAAGAGAGGCATTCGTATAACATTGGAAACCATTAGATAGTACTATCATGTAGCGCTTAAGAGTCAAATGTCCCAGGATTAATGTAAACTGTGATCAGCAAAGAAAGTCAAAGAATGCAACCACAATTCATAAAAAGTTTAAGATAAATAAGTTTAAGTGAATAGCACACTTTGTGGGCCACAGCATGGCGGCTCCACGTGAAGGCCAAAGTAACTTAGGAATGAATGGGAAACACTGATAAGAATTTCAGTCTTTGACTCTTTAAGCAGAAAAATAGGACACCAGGCAGATATGAGGTAAGGACTTGGGGCTGTAGCAGAATATAAGGCCCAAATAGATGTCCTGCAAACATGGAAGGTCCCTCACTCCTGGCCCCAAGAGCACTGAGTATTGGTGTAAGTGCTTTGCTTTCTCTTATTCACATGCAAAGTGTTCCTCTTCTGCAAATAACTTGCATGTGACCCAACAGAGTGTCTAGTTCCAGCCTTGTGAAAGATTTGTTTTGAAATTTTACCATTCAGCCCTGGGTTTTTGCAAGACAAAGAAATGAGGTAAAATTCATTAAGATAGGAAAAAACCACACTGATTTAAATGGAATGTGAAAAGTAAATGTCCTACACTGGGATCATGTTTCAACTAAGGGGATAAATTACAGATGAGAGTAAATGGATTTTCTTTCAGAATATACCATACTCTGGCACGGGTACCAATTGTCCTGAAGACAATCTGTCCTTTAACAGCTATAAAAAGTATTCTGTGGGACAAGACATACCTGACACAAACGTCACAGGCCAAACAATGATGCCCCAACTTTCAGAAATCAGCCTCCCGCAACACAGTGCCTGGATTTTCACCCAGTATCCCAAGAGCAAGCACACCTCTCTATGGATCTGCGTCTTGATAAAGATGGACATGCTATATCCAGCCTTAAACTTTCTTGTGTTTTATCACTAACTCTGCAGCAAGATTTTTTTAAAAAATAATTGCTCCAATTTGCTAAACCATCTTCTAAAAGAGAACAAGTCGTGGGAAATGATGAAGAAGCCTAGTACACTGAATTAGTTGATAATACGTTTGACCTTAATTTGCAGTGATTGTTCACCAATCCAGAGAAATCAATTGTCTCTGCTTTGAAGGCCTAAGTACTATTCTGCTTATGCTGTTCCTTCCAACATAAAGTGTCTCTTCACAAACTAGAGAGGTTTCCAATTGCATCGCTTCAACTGGTCTTGACAGGAGAAGAGATGAATCACAGGAGCAGTCTGGCACCATCTCAATTTGTAATACTCTTTACCAAGGGCTAAATCACAGCCAGGCAGATGCCAGGAGTGTTTAATTTTCTTCTTCTCCTTCTTGTTAACAAAAGGAGAGGTGTTCAGAAAAGCTCAGTCCTACTTGACAGAATTAGTAGACAGAGTAGCTGTCAAGGGTGGATCTACGTATCCAAAGAAGGCATGCATAGATAAGTTTGACTTAATCTTCAGGAAAGTTTTTCATGATGGCCCAAAACTAATCTGTAGCAAGAGATGAAATATTCAACATAATTTGTATAATGGAGACTTGTAGAGCTACATGCATCTGAGATTCCTGAGCTCACCTCCATTAGACCACTGCAGACTATGGATATCATGCTTCCTTTACTGTAAATGTTTCCTCTTGAAATTGAAAAATGTGTATACAAGTTTCAAACAGCTCTCTACCCAACCCAAATGAACCTACCATCCCATATGTCTGTGTTGGCCTAATTCTGACACCAGTGCATTTTTTTCCTGATCACTTGATAATACGGTAGCCATGAAAGGTCAAACGAAAGAAAAAAGAATGGTGACCAGGGGTGGGGGTGAACTAATAAAGGATGAATAACGTACAATAGAAAATGTGTAAATAAATAGAGTAACCACTATTAATAACCCACTAGGCTGGCAAGCAAATGTAAAATGATTGTAATCCTGGTGGAAAAAAATAGCTAATAAATAATTAATGAATCACTGAGGGGATGGAGACAAAAAGTTACATTCACTCTTCAGACCTACCATGTCATTCTCAAAGGAATCTATTGCTTGTCCTTTTTCTGTGTGCATGTCTCCCAGTACATGCTTGATGCCTGAAACACTCTTAAGTACTTACTAGATAGACTAAGTGGCCTGAATGTGCTGTGGGCATATCTTCCTTCTAGCTATTATTTGCTGCTCTCTTTCTTGTTTACTTGTAAGAAAGAACAACAAGTACCTTCAAGCAATATCTACACCAAATGTAATCTACCTCCATCAAAGAAAATGGGAGGGGGAATTGGCAGATGTGTCACTTAGTTCTATGTCTGTGAAATAAAACAACATGGAGGCTAGCATGTTGCCTCAGTGAGACAGCAGATACTCAGAAACAGAAACACCAAGACATTGGAGCTTCTATCACCCTTCTAAGGGGGATGCTAAATTGGAAATTTAATTCCAACTACCTATGTATTTGGCTCTGATAGTCAAGTAGCTCACCAAAAAGAACCAATGCATTTTTATAGTACCAGTGAATATCTTCACTGCATTTCACCCAGCTATAAAGGGCAATAAGCAGAAATAAAAATTCAACATTTCAAGAAGAGTCTCTACTGAACTTTTAAATTCTGGGTGAGGATATCATCAACTTAGCTAAGGATTAGTTTACTCTATAGAAGATGTATTCAAGAAGTACATGTTCTCTCTTATCCTCCCATACGTGCTAAGCTGGGCTTGAAGGTACACAGAGATGCCTGTGGCTGACTCATAGCAAATTCCCAGAAGCGACAGTGCCAAGTGAATGCTTAGGATTATACCATACTTTATTTCTAGGGTTTGTTACATAGATGGTGTGTCTTCTGGATACTGCCACTGTCATATATCTGTCCACGCTTGATGGTACTGGAGAAGTTTTAAGCAGAGGAGGATGCAAGGAGACATTTTTTTCCTCAACATGTTTGAATAATGAAAGTCGGTTTCTGAATATTAGGAGTTTGAATAGGATGACACTACGTCTTAAGGTAAGTTACTAAAACCCAACAAGAAGGAAAATAGGGAGGCAAGAACTTATGACCTCTTCCTTTCCCCTGAAAATCACTTCCAATTAGCCAGGATATGGTTGCCAATAGTCCAATAGGAAAGGAAGTGTTACACTAGCAAGAAAGCCTAAAAATCCAATCTTGGAGCTGGTGTTCCCTTTAGTTCCTGTTACTCCTTTTGAGCTCCTAAAATAATTCAGCTATAGAATGTATGGAGAGGTTTCCATGTTAGGTAGAATTAAGTACATGCTAACCTATGGGACTTACATTCTCTCAAGCATTTACGGAGCATCCATTAGAGCACATAAACTCTGCTGCAGTGAGGGATATTCCCAAGAAGCTTTAAGATTCATTTTCTTCCCTCCAAGAGCTCAATGCCAGTCTCTGAAATGACTTCCCTATGTTGATTATATAAAACTATATTAGTTGGCCTCTATACATCTAGATCTACCTCAGCCAAAAAAGTGTGATGGAGGCTTTGCAGCGTGACTATAAGATAGGCAAAAGAAGAAAAACTTATCCGCCCTTTTGTATTTTACTAATGTAATCATATTGTATCTTGACAAATAAGAGCTGAATCAAATACTTCAGGCCTAAAACGTGTAAAAATGTCGGTAAAACTTGTGATTGGGCATATGTATACAAAAGATGAGCTTTTAGAAATACTTCTTTTGCTCTAAATTTATAGGCATTAAAGGATCCTAAAATTAACTTTCTTTTCTGCTATCACTCTATACAGATCCCATTAACAAGGTATAGATAATGCATGACCCATTATGTGTCAAATCCCTGCATAAGATCATTTATTATTGGATACCATAGACCTCTTAAAAAGTCATATACACAGGTCTGAAACTGTGTAGCTCATCTATCCATATAACTACTTAAAATAATTTTTAGGCATAGGTTTCATTTTTTAACAAAAATAAAATCAGAGCCTGAAACTGTTTAAATACTTAGGCAGTAGTTTTAAATAAATACTGATAATCAGACTTTAAAAAATCTACTCTTCAAAGAGCAGTTTTTTTTTTTTTTTTGATGATATGATAATACCAAATTCCTTCTCCATTCTACAGAAATGCCAGCTTTATTCTTAAGCAACAGATTTCACTTAACACAGTAAGGTCTCTATCTCCCCCGCTTCACTGACACACTTGGCAGTAAAAACTGTTTTCTGCCTACAGAATCACTGAAACCAGAAAACGCCCCAATCACTCATCCACTATGAGGCCTAACCCTTTGAAAACACAATTTTCATTTTATCTTAAATGTACCAAATAATAGAGTTTCTACCCAATAATATGAACTTTTCCTGACAGCATAGATTTTGACTTCCCATTACACATTCCTGTTAGTGATCCAAACTATTTCTTACATTCTTTGATGTCTCCACACTTTAAATACTTGTAGGCTTATCTGCATCTGCATTTTAAGTCAATTTTTGAGTATTGTTTTCCAAATTCCCATTTAACTCTCAAAACCTTTACCCTGGCAACAGAGCTTTCGGTCATATCTTGAATTTGAATGCATATGAAATGTGTCTTTCAAGGTTGCCCCATTTGTAAAGCTTTCTCTTAAGAGTACCGTTAAGCTGTGGTAGCAAAATGTGCTCCCAAAAGTGATATTTAACCATTCCAAATCTATTTCTCCAAAGATTGTTTCCAAATCAGTAGTAAAAAGAAAATCTGATTTATAATCAACCTTTGCTAGTGTTAGTTCATAATCTACCACTAGTTAATTACTTTTAAAAATTACTCTTTCTTTCACGTATAATAACCTTACATAAAGTAGGACCACAGCCCCATTCAGTGTCACCTCCCTAGGATTACCTCAACTACTTCTGCCTACAGCAGAAAACCACCAGTTGCCTATAGAAAAATAGCCTCCAATATCTTCATGAACATGCACTCGCAGAAAGAATCGACAGTGAAAACAGACCCCAGTCCATTCTTTACAACATGCCTCAGATACACTGCTCTGTTAATCAAAATTTCTACATGGCTGTAAGGTGAATCATAAGCAGTCCCTTCCCCATATTTTCACTTTAAGTTTTATTTACACCACCCATATTTTATTTATGTCTTTCCTAATCTTCTCATTCCCCAGTATTAGCCACTAATTTTTTCCCACTATTATCCACTATATTAATTTACTGCTCTTATAAATTCAATCAGCCTTTTGCCAGATCATTACAAGGTCACAATCTAGTAGTTTGAAAAGCAAAACTACAGGCTTCATGTGGCAATACACATGCAGACATAAAAGTAATACCATTATGCACTCTGCCTTCTTAAAATTGCTCACAGAAACAGAGTATAAGGAAAAGCAAGAACTGTCTGTCCGTGATGTGGGCAAGAGGAAAGGTGAAAGAGAAAAGAGGCCTTGAGATTTATGTTTTACTCCAGCTAGTAGTCATTCTTCCATGCATTCCTCAGTCGGCTTGCTATTCAAGGTCTCTGTATCCAGGCTGATCTAAAACTTCCTAATCTTCTGCCTGGAAAACGCCACTTGCGTTCCTGTCTTAATTCCTTGGCCGGACCTACACCTGCTGCTGGAATGCCCTCTCCCTGTGCCTAGTTAGTGAAGGCCCACACACATATCTTGCCTTAGCTCCGGCCCATCCCTCGGACAGCAGACTTCCTCATCCATTCCACCTTCCTTCTTGAGGGCCTGGGGCATTCTCTGATTGTACCTTTCATTTAGCATCTTCCATATTCTGTTTCATAGATTATATATAATAAGGTATGCCTCTTCTAGAAAAAGAGCTATCTTGTAGTGGTCTAAGTATCTGTAAATATTTCTAATTCTCAACAGAACTCTGTAGCATGGTTAGTATCTACCTTTTATAGAAAAGGAAACTGAGTCTCAGAAATTTAAGTGATGGGCCCAAGGCCGTACTTAGAAGAAATAGGATTTGAATTCTGGTCCACCTGCCTCTGAAACCCATCTCTGTTTCATTATGCTATCTTGCCTCTACAGTGAAAGTAAGCTCTTTACATCAGGCTGGTGTTTTATACCCACCACTGTTTCCTCAGCTTATATTGTATGAGTACTTAATGAATATTAATAGAAAAGTTTATATTCAAATGAGATCACATTTTCTGAGTATACCTCTACAGAGGAAGAGGGCCAAGAGGCAGAAGAAAGCAAGTTCGGGATTCAGTTTTCTGCAGATATCCACAAAGTGAATGATGCTCAGGCATGATAATCCAGCGTTCACTAGATATCCAACTTTGCAGAAGTCTCCCGCGTAATTTAATAATACCACGGCAGAAGCACCAGTGTTTACTTCTTTGGCTGTTTCTGCTCATCCAGTGAATTTGCTGGGCCTGGAATTAATCCTCAGTGGATGCTAGAAATACTATGACAACAGCTGGCACCGTCATTTGCAGTGTCCAAAATGGAACTTCCTTTTTTCCAAGGAAAATATGTGTGTTTCTCTTTAAGTGCTAGGCTTACTTAAATATTAAAACCTTCACTTTCCCTTCAGTAGTTAAATTTTATGATAATGTAAAACACAGAAAAATGGCTTTATAACGTCAAACTACCCTCCATATTATAGGCTATGATATCTGTATTTTATAGTCCACAGTTATACTTCAGCTAACATATTTGTGGCTTATTTTTGAATCTGTGCAATTATAAGATGGATACTACCATATCACTTTCAGTAGGAAGTGGAGGCAAATTTTATTTCTTTTAAAAAAGGACAAATCTGCAAAATTACTTTTTGAAAGCAACAAATCTGTCATAGGAACTTCAGTCCAGAAAAATAAAGCAGGATATTGGGGGCCATGTTAAAGCTGAGACACTGTTTACTTGGGAAGCTACATCTATGGATCATGGGCCCCTAATATCATGCTGCTCTTTCATTTTGCATTCAAAGCCCTGGGCACAGCAAAGAGGCATATGCCAATGAAGGCCAGCCCAGCTGTCACAAATGCAGATATAATCAGGTGG